GGCGGACGCATATGGCCACCCGCATTGGGGCCCTAGGTGGGGCTCTCTATGGGGCCACGAAGCGCTGTACTGGGTGTGGCGCACGCATGTGGCCCCCCCCCCTGGGGCCTTAGGTGGGGCTCCCTATGGTGCCACGAAACGCAGTGCTGGGTGTGGCATGTGGCCACCCGCACTGGGGCCTGAGGTGGAGCTCCCTATGGGGCCACGAAGCGTTGTACTGGGTGTGGCGCACGCATGCGGCCACCCCCGCTGGGGGCCTTAGGTGGAGCTCCCTATGGGGCCACGAAGCGCAGTGCTGGGTGTGGCATGTGGCCACCCCCGCTGGGGCCTTAGGTGGAGCTCCGTATGGGGCCACGAAGCGTTGTACTGGGTGTGGCGGGCGCATGTGGCCACCCCCGCTGGGGCCGTAGGTGGAGCTCCCTATGGGGCCACGAAGCGCAATGCTGGGTGTGGCATGTGGCCACCCCCACTGGGGCCTTAGGTGGAGTTCCCTATGGGGCCACGAAGCGTTGTACTGGGTCCGGCGGGCGCATGCAGCCACCCCCATTGGAGCCTTATGTGGAATTCCCTATGGGGCCACCAAACGCTGTGCTGGGTGGGCGAAACGGAAGGATGGGGAGGAGGGGAGGAGGAGGAGGAGGAGGAGGAGGAGGAGGAGGAGGAGGAGGAGGAGGAGGAGGGGGAGGAGGAGGGAGGAGGGGGAGGAGGAGGAGGAGGACCGTCTCCGTCGAGGAAACGACGGATGGTTGGGAACCAAAGCGATGCTCGAATGCTCTCGAATTAGTCTGGCGAAAGACCCAACCATATGCAGTTGTGAACACCAAAATTGTGCATATCTTCTTCGGTGGAGCTCCCTATGGGGCCACGGAACGCTGTACTGGGCGGTTGAAGCGCAGGGAGCAAAAGCACAAGACGCATGTACTGAGCAGGCCACGAAGCGCTGTACTGGGTGTTGGGTGGTGGCGGGCGCATGCGGGCGGTGCCACTGGGACCTTCCGTGGGGCTCCTTACGGGGCCACGAAACGTTGTACTGGGTGAGTGAACTGCAAGGAACAATGGTTGTGTTGGGTGGTGGCGGACGCATGCGGGCGGTGCCACTGGGACCTTCGGTGGAACCCCATGTGGGGCCACGAAACGCTGTACCGAGCGGGTGAAACGCAAAGAGCCATGGCTGCGCTGGGTGGTGGCGGACGCATGCGGGCGGTGCCACTGGGACCTTCGGTGGGGCCCCCTTATGGGGCCACGAACCGCTGTACTGGGTGGGCGAAACGAAGTGAGCAAGGGCCGTTTTGGGTGGCGGCGGACGCATGCGGGCGGTGCCACTGGGACCTTCGGTAGAGCTCCTCATGGGGCCACGGAACGCTGTACCAGGTGGGTGGGACGCAAGGAGCAAGGGCCGTGCTGGGCGGTGGCGGACGCATACGGACAACGGCCGCTGGGACCTTCGGTTGATCTCCTTATGGGGCCACAAAGCGCTGTACTGGGGGGGGGGAACGCAGGGAGCAAGGGCTGTGCTGGGTGGTGGCGGACACATGCGGGCGGTGCCACTGGGACCTCCGGTGGAGCTCGCCATGGGACCACGAAGCGCTGCACTGGGTGGGCGAAACGCAAGGAGCAAAGGCTGTGCTGAGTGGTGGCGGACGCATGCGGGCGGTGCCACTGGGACCTTCGGTGGAGCCCCCCTATGGGGCCACGAAACGTTGTACTGGGTGGATCAAAAGCAGGGGCAATGGCTGTATTGGGTGGTGGCGGACGCATGCGGGCGGTGCCACTGGGACCTTCGGTCAAGCTCCTTATAAGGCCACGAAGCGCTGTACTGGGTGGGTGGAACGCAGGGAGCAAGGGCTGTGCTGGTTGGTGGCAGGCGCATGCGGGCGGTGCCACTGAAACCTTGGGTGGGGCTCCCTATGGGGCCACGGAGCGCTGTACTGGGTGCGTGAAACGCAGGGGGCAATGGCTGCACTGGGTGGTGGCGGACGCACGCGGGCGGTGCAAGTGGGAGTTTCGGTGGAATTCCCTATGGGGCCACGAAGCGCTGTACTGTGCGGCGGGTGAAACGCAGGGAACACGGGCCGTGTTGGGTGGTGGCGGACGCATGCGGGCAGGGCCACTGAGACCTTCGGTGGAGCTCCCTATGGGGCCACGAAACGGTGTACTGGGGGGGGGGGGGGGGGGAAACGCAGGGAGCAAGGGTTGTGCTGGGTGGTGGCGGACGCATGCGGGCGGTGCCACTGGGACCTTCGGTGGAGCTCTCTATGGGACCACGAAACGCTGTACTGGGTGGGTGAAACGCAAGGAGGAAGGAGGAGGGAAGGGGAGGAGGGGGGGGAGGGGGAGGAGAAGGAGAGGAGAAGAGGAACGCGGGGACCGTCTCTTCAAGAGGACCAAACACCACAGGATGGTTGGGAAACGAACGTCCAAAGACTATATTTTGACTATGCTTAAAAATTCTTCCTGTAGAGGGACACGCCCGACGCAACCCCAGGCCACGCTGACAGCGATGTTGGGAATCTGGCTCGCGCGACGCCGAATTCGCGCAGAGCAGATCGCTGGGAAACACGAGCAAGACTCTCCTACAAGTGGCTTGGCCCTGAACCACCCCCACCTACAACCCAGATCACTGGATACCTATATGTTTCGGTCGCGATCGGTAGCGACCGATCGGCACTCCAGATCGGTCGCGATCGATCGCGACCGATCCCAAAATCGGTCGCAAACGCCCGCCATCGATCGCGATCGACGTTGAGGCAAATCGGTCACGACCGATACCGAAAAGTGAAGCAACATCGGTAGCGACCCATCTCGTCGGTCGCGACTGGAATACTCCAGTATCCAATGATCAGGGAACACCGAGACATACATCGCTGTTGCCTACATCGCCGTCGTTGTGCCTACGTTTCGTCCCTGGGTTGGGAAGCAGAGGGGCACAGTCAAGACGCTGAAATAAAGAACAGTTTGGGTTCGGAAAGGGCTCGATGTTCCTTAGGTTCCTCCAGTGATGTTCCTCTTGCCCTCCTGGGGCACGGAGGCGCTTACAGGGCCAAGAAGGGGTTGCGTTCCTTATGTAGCGTTCCTTCTTTCAGCGGCCCGACTGTACTCCAAGCTCCGTCATACCAGGGAGCGGGTCACGACCCTCCCAAACGAGCAGACTCAGACCCCGACCCCAGACAAATCATGCAAGGGCGGCCCCTTGCCAGACCCAACCGGCACCCTCTGCACCCTGCGAAATGCTTTAGAAATCATGGGTTAAGAAATTCATAGTCTGAGAATCTGAATAAAAACCCAGAATGTCTATTCAAATCTTGGAATTCACATTGAAACATTAAGAATAATCGAGACTCTGGCCGAAAACTTAAGTTTTCTTAAGCATCGCCTAAGGTGTAAGGCAGCTCGAATCAGACCCCCCCAGACCCGAACCACCGACCCTGCTCCCCGCGGCACCCTCCAAGGAAGCTCGACTCAGACCCCCCCGCCCTCTTCCAGGGTCGTGCGTTCCGACCACCAGCATTTCGCGGCCAACACATTTGTGGCGGCGAGGGCCTCCCAGGAGGTGGTGGTGGTGCACGTTGGCGTAAGCGTTACAGCTGTGCTCATGCTACCTCTGAAACAAAACAGGACAATCAAAACTTGAATTCAATCTGACCTCGCCACGGCGCAATCTGACCTCCCAGGAGGTCCCAGGAGGGACACACGAGGGAAGGCCCTGGCATCGCCGAGGCATCGACGAGGCATCGGGCCCTGGCCCAGGCGAGCCTCGGCCACGAGCAGGCTCTCCCCGTCCTGGCTCCTCCTCCTCCTCCTCCTCCTCCTCCTCCTCCTCCTCCTCCTCCTCCCTCCTCCTCCTCCTCCCTCCTCCTCCTCCTCCTCCTCCTCCTCCTCCTCCTCCTCCTCCTCCTCCCTCCTCCTCCTCCTCCTCCTCCTCCTCCTCCTCCTCCTCCCGGCCCCGAACGGCCCGACAACCAGAGGAAAGAAGAAGCCAGGACGGGGATCACATCGTGAGCGTTTTTTTTACACGGCGTTTCGACATTGGACGGGAAGGGGGGGAGGGGGGGGGGTCCTGGCTACGGACCTCTGCGAAGTGCAACTGTTTGCAGGCGTGCGTCGTATGGGAGAGGCTCCACCCGCTCGAAACAGGCGCCAAAAACAGCCAAGATCTACACCAGGGGGGGGAAGGGGGGGGGCGAAGGCCCGCGCCGATCGGCAAAACAATGAATAAGAAAACGATCACATCTTGAGCAAGGACCGACCGTCACGGCAATCCGATAGGCCTACCACGAAATGTTCTCAGAACCCCAAGGTGTTCCAAGAACAAATAAAAATGTTCTTAGAACAGCAACCCGACGTGTTCAAACAAGACGGTCTCGGCCAGATATGTTCTGAGAATATGTCGTGCAGACCACAAGCAGAACCTTCTTGGGTGGGCCTATAGGCAAGCCAAGACGCTTCGCACCTGCTGGAACATCGGGTGAGGTTAAATCGGAAAGCTCTAAGATCTGGCGGCTCTGGAGAACGTCTCGAGCGCAACGGCCTTCCCAGAGCGTTCTGGAACGCTCTGTGAGAGCGCTCTGGAGCGCTCTGAGAGCGCCTCGTCCTAGCCCCGTCCGACGGGCCCCTCCCGAACTCAAAATGGTCCTTATCCCTGGGGAAACCAAAAGGCACCGATACTGCTCTCCCCGGACCTCTCCTGGGGTGCGCTCTGACCAGAATTTCGAGGCGCATCCAGCAGTGGCGACGAGAGCCTCCAGAAAACCCCAAAAGGGGAGAATGGAGAAAGGGTAAAGGCTCGGAGGTACCTTTTCCTCCTCTGCATCTCCACGTGTTGGCTGTGGATGTTCCCTCTTCCCTTAGGTCGGGCATGTCATCCTACAGGCGGATTTTGGACGGAAAAATTAAATAATCAACAACCATTCCAGCAGAAGCAAAAATTGTCAACAAAAACGTTCCCTGACCATTTCCTCCTGCAGGGGGGCATGCCCGACTTAACTCTTCCCCTGGAGCTCCTCCCTGGCGGACCCCGCCTCCCGCGCGTGCGCGTCGCGCTCGGCGCGCACCTCGGGAAAGCCCAGAATCGAATCGATAAATCGCATCGGCGATCGAAATGGACCGAACCGAATCGATCGGCGATCGGCGATCGATAATTCCCATCTATACATCGGATAAATCGGATCGGCGATCGGCCATCGAATGGATCAATCGAATCGGCGACCGAAATGAACCGAAACGGCGGAAATCAGGAGCCAAGTCGGGAGAAGTCGAGTCGGCGGAAAGCGGCAACATGGTAGGCCCCCATTGAAGGATCGGCATCCGACTCCGAAGCCGAATTGAAGCGGAATCGGAAGCCATCGAAATCGAGTCGAATCAAATCAGAGGAATGGACACGAGCCCTGGCACCTGCAGCAGCTCCGCCTCCGCCCTGCGGCCCCCTGCACGCAGCGACTCCGCCTGCTCGAGGGCGCCGTCCAGCTCGCCACGCACGCCGGCCAGCTCCCGGATGAGGCGGCTGCAGCGGGCCTCCAGGACTGCAAGGACGAGGACTGAGCCCTCAAAATCGCCCCTCTGGACCCCTCTCGGGTCTCTTTAAGAGGATCCTGGCGTCATCTCAGGGCTCTTCTGGGGAGTCTTGGCGCCCCCTGGGGGCCCTCTTGGTGCTCTCTTGGGGGCCTGTTGGGGGCCCTGGAGGGCCTCTTGGGGAGCCCAACCCCCTCGCGTCGTGAAAAAAACACCATGGGTAGCGCCATCGCTATACCTTCAGCCTCGGGGGGCCCTCGACGGGCCCCATGGGGCAGGCAAGAGAGGCCTCAGGATCTGAGAAGCCAATCCCAGGGAGTGGGCCAGGGCCTCTGGGGGTCCACGTTATGGGAAAAAATTGCGCTGGGAGGGCCTGCATATAGGAAAAAGAAAACTTGGGGTCAACGATAGGGGGGACTGGCGTAGGGGGGGACGCATCGACCTGGAATCGACGATACATCGCCGACAGATCGGCGATGGGCCCCCGATGATGACACCGCACCTTTCTGGGCGGGTTGGGGCTATCAGACCCCTATCGGCGATCAATGGGCGATTGGGGGTCGATGCATCCCCCCCTATGCCCATTCCCCCCCTATCGTTGCCCATGATTCAGCCCAACCCCCTTGCGCTTACGCGCCATCTTACGCGGGCAGCTTACGCGTGTCGGTGCAGTCGAAGCCAAGATCCGACGTCGCGGAGAACAACATTACACTACGGAGGAAGCCCACATACTTAATTTTATGTCCTGTGTGTACTATGCTACCACTACCACCGCCACCACCTCGAGCCACACGAGCCATCCATCAAACATTTAGAAGCAGTTGCAGTGGGAATCTGGGCTGAGGGTGCTGACTTCGATCTTTCAGATCAGGTGATGACTTCGATCTTTCAGATCGGTGTGAGCCGCGATGTTTACGGATCAGGGCAGCGCCATGAAGCTCCGCACTTAGAAAACATGCAACCGCCTCCCCAATAGTGACCAGAAACCGCCACGCCTGCTGCAATAGGCTTTGCGGCAATGTCGTGGATAGCGGCCCTGCCCAATGACCACCCACTGCGCGCCCGTGTGGCGTCGAGACATTGCCACGCCTACAAGGCTTTTCGACAACGTGGTGGAAAGAAGCCGGACCAAAGACCACTCCCAGCGCACCCCTTCTGGTGTCGAGAAATTGCCGCACCTGCTAGGCTTTTCGACAGTGTCGTGGATAGCGGCCGGTGTGGGAGACCACCTCCTGCGCACCCCCTCTGGTGTCGGGAAATTGCAACGCCTGCCAGGCTTGTCGACCGTGTCGTGGGTAGCGGCCGTGGTGGGAGACCACCCCCCTGCGCACCTCCTCTGGTGTCGAGACATTGCAGCGCCTGCCAGGCTTGTCGTGGGTACCGGCCGCGGTGGAAGACCCTTCCCTGCGCACCCCCATCTGGTGTCGAGAAATTGCCGCGCCTGCTAGGCTTTTCGACAGTGTCGTGGATAGCGGCCGCGGTGAGACACCTCCCCCTGCGCACCGCCTCTGGCGTCGAGAAATTGCCACGTCTGCTAGGCTTTCCGACAGCGTCGTGGATAGAGGCCGCGGTGAGAGACCACCCCCTGCGCACCCCCTCTGGTGTCGAGAAATTGCCGCGCCTGCTACGCTTTGCGACATTGTCGTGGATAGCGGCCGCGGTGAGGGACCACCCCCTGCGCACCCCCTATGGTGTAGAGAAAATGCCACGCCTGCTATGCCCTGGACGACCGTCGTGAATAGCGGCCGCGGAGAGGGACCACCCTGTGCGCACCCCCTATGGTGTCGAGAAAATGCTACGCCTGCTATGCCCTGAACGACCGTCGTGCATAGCGGCCGCGGTGAGGGACCACCCCCTGCGCACCCCCTCTGGTGTCGAGAAAATGCCACACCTGCTATGCCCTGGACGACCGTCGTGCATAGCGGCCGCGGAGAGGGACCACCCTGTGCGCACCCCCTATGGTGTCGAGAAAATGCCACGCCTGCTATGCCCTGGACGACCGTCGTGCACAGCGGCCGCGGTGAGGGACCACCCCCTGCGCACCCCCAGCACAGCTCAGCGCACAGCGCACAGCTCAACACATCACCCCCTATGGTGTCGAGAAAATGCCACGCCTGCTGTGCGCTGTGCTGTGCTGTGCTGAGCTGAGTTGAGCTGACCTGTGCTGTGCTGTGCTGAGCTGTGCTGTGAGCTGTGCTGAGCTGTGCTGAGCAGTGCTGTGCTGTGCTGTGCTGTGCTGTGCTGTGCTGCGCTGTGTAAGAAGGGAAGGAGGTGCGCTGTGCTGCGCTGTGATGGGAGAGGGAGGAGAGGGAGGAGGAAGGTGGGGTGTGAGGGCCGCGGGTGCGACGAGGCAGGGAAGAAAACCAGAACCCCATTAAGCATGTGGGGAATAAAACATCGTAAATGATTGTGTTTCGAGCGATCCCCACCAAAATCTTCGGTGTCTGATCCCAACGGTGCGCGCGCCTACTGGAACGATGTGCGCGGGGCTCGGCGGTCTCGGCCAGCGCGGCGGCCGGGCGAGGTCGCAAGTTGATATTTCCCGAAAGTCTAACAATCCCAGTGCCCCCAAGGAAAGCAACCGAAACAAGTCCATGGACCGACAAACCAGCCCCAGAACCGCGTCTTGCGAGATCTCAACTTCTTCTGCACTGCTGTGCTATTGTACGGCAGGTTCGATTCTGCCCCAGTGTAGTGTATGAAGCCATGTGATGTTGTGTTCAGTTGTGGACGGGCCGGCGTGACGTCGTGACGCCTTTCACGTTCGGTATGTCGTCTAGTCGGCCGTTGCTGCGAATGCTTGTTGCTGTGGTCAGCCTGGGCTTGGCGCGCATGTCGCGTATAATAGGCCGCCAATACTCGGTCTCTGCTGAGTTATACTATATAACGTTGTGTTCGGTTATGTTATGCTCCATGCACATATTTGTTCCTGTTCTGCTCTCAACGGTGCCGCGTGACGTCGTGACGCCTGTCGCATTTGATATGTTGTCTAGGTTGCCGCGCCTGTTGTTTCCTGTGGCCGGGGGCGGATGCTGTGTTTGACTGTGCGTCAGTTTTCTGTCGTTGCTGTATGAAACTAGTATGAATGATCCCGCGTTAGATAAGGTTCTATATGCTATGCTACACCATGATCTGTTCTGTTGTCGACAGGGTGGCGTGACGACGTGCCGCCTGTCTTGTTAGATACGTCTCCCGATCGGTCGTTGCTGCGCCCGATTGTACCTGTGGCCAGGCTGACCTCGGCACCCACGTCGAGTTTGATTATGTTTTGGTACGGCCGATTGTGTTATGAAGTTCCTCTTTCAGGTTGTGTCTCCCTTCTGTTAAAATACGATCTGGCATGGTCACCTCTGTCAGTGTATGATTTCTTATGATGTGATATGCTCTGCTCTGCGACAACACGGTATGACATGATACGTATGTTATGTAAGGTTAGGCTATGTAATGCGTTTGTGCTATGGTCTTTAAGATACGCTCAGATCTATATCGCACATTACATAATAGTATAGCCAATCGCGTTATATCCAGGGGGTAGCAGTAAGGGGTAGCAGTAGGGGCTGCAACAGTACAAGTCTGCTATGCTATGCTGGTTACGGTGTGACGTGTTTGCTGCCTTATGCTGGTTAGATAATATCTCATTATGCTTTGACCAAGTATGTCTGTTATGTTCTGGGCGGGCTGGCGTGACGCCGTGACGCCTGTCACGATAGGTTCGTCGTCCGAGCATTCGTCGCTGCGCCTGCTCGCTCCTCTGGCAAGCCTGACCTCGGCGCGCGGGTAGCGTCTGAGTGTAGCATTATATATTATGTTGTGTTGAAATGCTTCGTCATGCTATGGTATGCTTCGTTCCTGTATATGTTACGAAAATTATGTTACCGTGTGAATTGCTATGCTCAAACTCTGCTCCGTTACCCGGTGTGCTCTATCCTTCGTTGGTTGTAACGTGATGTTATGGTATGCTCTGCGTGCTCTATGATGCTATCGCATGCGTTGTGATGATGTGTCATGCTATGTCCTGTTATGGCATGACATGAAATGTTATGCGTTGTTGAGTTATGGAGTTATGACAACTTATAATATGCTACGCCATAATGTGTTATGCCGCGTTCTGCCATGGTACGATTGCTCATGCTATGGAATGCTATGTGCTTTGACGATGCGTTATGGTGTAACATGTTATAGCATGGTATGATAAGACATAACATAATATGTTATGGAATGGCATAGTAAGTACGATAATGCTATGGTATAAGGTGTCGTGTCTTGCTATGCTCTGTATGATCCACTCTGCCATAGTTTATGGTGTTATGTTACGCGATGTGTCGCTGTGACGTAACATAGTATTCCGCACGCTGACATGTTGTCATAAGTCATCTCTGCTCCGATTGTATATGACAGTGCATCATTGCTGGAAGACTGTATCATGGAGCAGCAACAACAACAATCACAACAACAGCAACAACAACAACAATAAAAAGCACTGTCATGTTATGAATTGTCGGCGCGAGGCCAGACACTCGGGGACACTCGGGGGAACTGGGGATCTGGCGGCCGCGGGATGCAGACTGGGCGAATCGGCGCGAGGCGGGACATTCGAGAACACTCGGGAGGACCTGGTGATCTGGCGGCCGCGGTATGCAACGCGGCACGAGGCGGGACGCTCGGGGACACTCGGGGGATCGGGAAATCTGGCGGCTGCGGTGTGCAGTAGTGCACCGGTCGGGAGGCTTGCTCTTGAAATCCAGCGACCCCCACCTGACGGATGGAGAAAAACACGACCCGAGCACTGAACCCCACTTTTCTGTACGATGTTTCAAGCCGGATGTATATATAAATGGCCTTGTTTTTGCGTCACGCATCTTGTCGAAGATCTGTCGGCGGCCAGCCAGGGGGGAAGTGAGAGGGGGCGGGCCCTCCCAGAAGGCTCGGAAGTACTTCGGTCTTCTGAACAGTTTCCTGGGCCTTCCCCGAAGCCACAGAAAACTTCTCAGAAGGCTGGAGGGTCTCGGATAAGCCCCACCGCCTTCTGAGAAGGCCTCCTCCTTTTCACTTCCACCCCTCGCTCTAGGGCGAGAATGATGTCATGGTAAGATTGGCTCGAGATACGTTCACGGAAACCCTGGAAACCTTGGAAATCTAGGAACGTATGATTATCATATATCATGGGTTGTTGCTCCTCTGACGTTCCGCTTTGACTTCCCCCTCGGCCGAGGGCAGGGAAGGCGCCCCGCGGGAGCCAGGAGATGAAAACTGCGCAGGACCGAGCACCGAGGATCGCACAAACACAACCTGCACAAGCGCGGATGTTCTGAGTTCCGCGCGGAATCCTTGGACCTGGCTTGGCCTAGAACGAAACGAGGACGAATATAGAAAGTCCGGGGAGGCGAAATCGAGAATCTCTGAGATCCGGCGGCTCTGGAAAATGTGTCGGGCGCCGCGGCCATCCCGGAGCGTCCCGGAACGCTCCGAAGGAATTCCGAAGCGCCTTGGAAAGGATTTGATTTAGGTCGGGCACGTCCCCTCTACAGGCGGATTTGGGACGAAAATTCACAAATAGCCAAAGAGTGTTCAAAACACGTTCGTCCCCAGATTAGTTTTTATAATTTTTGAACACTCGCCAAACTTACGATTTGATCCTCGACCTGGCCCCGTCCGAGCTGAAACCCCCTCGTTGGCCGCCTGACCTGGGTTCGCGCAGATTTTCCGCGGCGAGCGAAGGGGGTGAGAAAAAAATGCCTTTTCACAAGCGGGCGGGATTTCTCGGAAACCCTCGCGCCTTTTTCAAAAAGTCTTTTATTGTCTTCGGGGAAGGCCAGGGGACTTCGGGGCCCTCCGAAAAATGTTATGAACCTGCCCCGAAGGCACAGAGAACGGGTTTCGGAGAAGCCCCGCCGCTTTCTGAAAAGGCCTCCTCCTCACTTCCCCCCACCGGAACGCCGCCGAGATTGATTGGAATTTGGGCCATAATTCGGATCTCCGGCGGCCGTCTGGGGCGATCGGGGCACCCCTGGAAAGATCTCGGCGAGGCGCAGCCGCTGGAACGCATCTCTCAAGGCTGGAAAGTCGCCAGGAACCGATGAGAAAACGCGCGAAGGCCTCCAGCCCGAAACACCAAAACTCCGCCGAAGTTTTTCCCTGCCTCGCGCCTCGCCGTCGGAGCGGGTCTCCTGCAGCTCCTGCTCAGGGCTCGACCGAGACAATGTTTCTCCTTTCTCATCCTCACACCTCTTCCTCCTCCTCCTCCCCCTCCTCCTCCTCCTCCTTCTCCTCCTCCTCCTCTTCTTTCTCCCCCCCCCTTCCTCCGCCCCCTCCTCCCCCCCCCCCTCCTCCCCCTTCCTCCTGGCACGTGCCCCATGACCGGACAGCGGTTCAGCCTTGGTCATCAGCTTGCTCGACACGAAGAAGCACAGCGCGAATTCGCGGCAGCAGGGCGATTGCCGCTGTCTGCGTCACTGTTTGCACGGGATCAAGGGCGACAATATGATGGCAGAGATCGGCGGAAACGGCGAGCGGGAGGACAGAGGCGGCAGGGGGCAGGAGGCCAAGACGAGAGAGATGACAAGCAGGGAGGACATCAGCAGCGAGGGCAGCAGAGAGGAGATCCGAGAAACGCGGGCAAACAAGATAATGCGATATAGAGTCCTTCGCCCCTGAGCATCCGAGATTACAACCTTCATCCTTCTGTAACGCACAAGCAGTGGCCCAAGCTCCTCACAGGGTCTTAAGGGCGGCTGTACTTTGGGGCTTCGGGAGCTTCAAGAGGCGATCTCGGACATCACCCCAATCCATGTCGTGTATCTCGGCGGACTAACGGGGGAACCACTTCTGTAAACAACGAGAGAAGGCATTGGGGAGCCTATCGGGGTAAAGCACACGAAGTAGCTCATCGGCCACAGGAGCCTGAAGCTGCCTCTTCTCTTCGGCTAGGGCGTCGCGACCAATTATGAAAGCACGCCGGGCGGCTCGCTTCCACGCGGGGACGTCTGGGAACCCCTTCGAGGCCTCGTGCCGCACTTCCACAAAATCAATGGACCTCCAAACAGGCGGGCTCTCTCCGCCAGCAGCCACCAGAGGAAAAGGGAGGAGAAGGGCCGCGCCGTCGGCCAAGATCGCAAGGAAATCACGCCAGCGTGGGGAAGTCCGCAACGGGGCTCTCTGGACAGAGGCGAAGCTAAAGATCGGGGCACTGTGGAACGTGCCCCCCCCCCCCCCCCATCTGCATAAATTGAAAGGATCTGTTCTAGACGCGCAAACAGCGGGGGGGGCAGCAAAGGAAGAGGCGGGGGCGGCGTGTTCGCACCGACAGAAGGAGGGGGGAAGAAAGAGGAACTGGGAGACGCAGGAGAGAGAACAGTCAGCACTCTCGAGTTGCACAGAGATGCAGCAATATTCGGCGGCGGTCGCCCCCCCCCCCCCCCCCCCCCCCAGCGCGCGAACCCTATCGGCGCGCCTCTGGATGGGCGCAGACCAGGACCCATCCAAAGTCCGAAGTATTTGAGGGCGGGGGGGACCTTGAACTGCTGCCACTGCGGGGTGTTCTCCTAGCCAGGCACAAATATGAGCAGCCATCTCGAGGCCCCACTGAGAGTGCAGAGGGGCCCCGACGCACATGTGGGCCTTGAGCTTGAGCGAGGCAATTCTCCCTGCAGCTCTGAAGACAATGGTAATATTTTGCAGCGCAACAAGCTGAAAGAGGACGGCGCCAGCGTCGTCAGCTTAACATCTGACGCCCCCCTGGCATGGGCATTAATCCATCGATTGGGCTGCAGCATGAACGGTGCTGAGCGCGTAAACTACTCCTGGAGTTGGACAGCCGTGCACAATGCCAGATGAGACGTTGAATGGCCACGCGCAGGAACTGCCGAGTTGCGCAAAGCAGGGGCGGTCTCTGTAGATGGGGGGGAAGGACATCAACGGGGGAGAGAGAGATTGAGGGTAGCTAACACCTCATAAATCAACTGGCGGGCGATCGATGGGAAAGATCGCCCAGGATCGCACGATGCGAGGACAGGCATGTGGGTGTCAGCCCTTTCGTTGAGCCCAGCTACTCTAGCCCAGACGTCAAGCTCGAACATCTGTGTGTATATATATATATATGTATCGCTCGTGCTTCCGCGAAGCAGTGTCCAGATGACCATTGTACAGCCTTGCGAGTTGACATGAAGAGCGCCCTCGCAGCTCGGGCACTGCCCTCGGCCGCTTCAGGTAGCGACCACCTTGCAATTGGGAAGTGTCGTCTGTATGTTGTACGCATGAAAAGCACGCTGAGGATGCTCGTCTGATTCTCCGCTGCAGAGGCCCAGACGAGCGGGAATTGACTGTGGGTTGCGCAATTGCGAGTGCCACGCCGCGCTTACTGCCTGCCAAAGGTGTGGGCAACGAATACAGTGAGACATGGAGTCCACGGCGCTTGCGTCCTAAGATTGACGGCAGCCGAAAACACAAGGGCTGCACACGTCGCTCGAGCGAAGGCGGCGGCTCGTGCCCCCCCCCACCCCCCCACCACCCACCCAGGCCTTGAGCAGGGCCGAGTGAGCAGCGGGCGAAAAGCCCGAAACGAGCAGCTCCTTGAGCGGCCCCCATTCGATCTGTGAGGGCGTAAAAGATTCGTCTGGGTTCGTCCAGGAGTTGAGGCGAGAGAGAAAGGTAACAGGCAGGCGGCCAGGGAGGGGCGAGGAGACAAGGCGGGAGTGCACAAACTTCTGCATGCGCAAACGAGCACTAGAACATTCGGCAAGGAGGCGGGCCTTCTCCTGTTTCCACTCACTCAGCACTGTGCCGCAGGCCACGGCCAGAGCACGATTCTTGTCGTTGGGGAACCCCTGCGCGGCTTCCTCGAGGGCGTGGGCGATCGGCTTCGGCTTCCAATGGGGTGGGGCAAACATGCCAAACGTGCGGGCGTGGAACGAGAGGCCGATCTCCGCTGCGCCGATCAGGCGCCGTGCCCAGAACGGCCAGTTCAGAACAGAGCCAGCAGCACTGCGCATCAATGCCGCGCGATTGTTGAGCTCCAGGGAGACCGCCTTCAGCGTCGCCCAGCGCCCCAGTGCCAGTAGGCCATCCCGAGGTAGTGCTTGCGGGGGCAGGTGCCAGACCCGATGCAAAGCCCAGCTTTCTTTCTTCTTCATCTTCTGCGGCCACACGAAGAGATGGCTGAGGTACGAGGTATTGCTTACGGCGCGCTGGCTGTAGAGCGTCATCGAGGTACTGGTCGGGGCTCCGACGTCGGCGATTAGGTTGGTGGACCGCTGCCAGCCCAGGATTACATTCTTCCACCTGTGTCCGTCATCAACACGGGGACCCAGCAGCACACCCAGGTACTCTGCCATGTCCGTGATCGTCATGCCACTCCAACGGTGTACAAGCTCAGCGATCTTGGCGCGCACCCTGTCCTTCGCCGCAGGTGTGAAGGCCTCCGCCAGAGGGATGGCTTGCACTTCGCCGCCTTCAGCACTAGCCGCGCTAGAGTCTCCGCCGCATAGAAAGCCCTACGCATAGGACGGAGCATCTTCAGCGACGGGAGCACGATGCCCACGTCGTCGGCGCAGACCCCGATGACCACCCCTCTGAAGTTCGCCGTCCGCGAGTGCATGTCCCTGATCAGCGGACCCATGCCGACCGCCCATAGCGTCCCCGACCATGGGCACCCCTGGAGAATGCCCGAGGCGAGGGCGCAGAAGACCCCGTCGGCGCCCCCGGGGCTGGTGAAGGCGACAGGCAGGAGGTAGATCGCTTCGATCATGTTGCGGATGCCTTCAGGGAAGTCGGCCTTCTCCAGCGCCATTTTGAGCCAGGTTCTGCACGCCGATGGAAACGCATCGCCGAAGTCGTTGAGCACCATCAGCGGGTCTTTGTCCGTCGGGCCCTCCTGCATGGCGACAATGCGGGACCGTGCATCCATCGCCACCACACGTTCAATGAAACGCCGCTTCGGGAGGAAGCCTTTCTGCGCACCATGGGCCCCTTTCGCGACGATCGGTTTCATCAGCTCGTTGCCCGCGGCAACCACAATATTGCAGTCCGTGTTCTTCAAGGAGAGGAGTCTCGTAGCCTTGGCCATTCTGGTCGCCGTTATCCCATCGTCAGGTTCCGACCCTTTCGGAACGAATATCATGAGCGAGTCGTTGAAGTCCAGCGGCGCGGGATAACCTTTCATTACATCGAGCGACACCTCAAGCAGAGACTTTTCGGTGGTGCCGTGGTCGTGTAGGACCTCGGTGGCCTTGAGCTTCAGCACTTTGCCAGTGGGGCCCAGAGCATGCCGCGCTTCTGGATCGCCCTCTGCATCTTGCGGAGGCGCTGTCTCTTGAGGTAGTGGGCGCCCCTCACTTGCTCCTCCTGCAGCAGGGCCTCCGCCCGCTGGTCCAGGTACTCCTGCTGATGCTGCTCGAATGTGTGGCGGGAAGTCTCAGGCTCGATTAGCGCGATGTTGTTGCTGTCAGAGATGCCCAGGAACTTCGCGCGCAGCTTCGCGCGAGCATGCCGTGAGCGAGCACTCCTCCAGTCATTCCTCCAGACAGCCCTGGAAATCGCCCTGCACGTCGTCAGGGCAGCCGCCGAGCACGGCGCGTGTGCGTCTGTCATGTCGTTACGCGTCAGCCTGGCCGCCTCGCGAATGAGGCGCCTGGATTCCTTGGGGCGGACGCAGGGCGGGTAGTTGCCCATGTCCGCAGCACCGCTCAGCAGGTCGAAATATTTGGCAAAGAGGGGGCTCTCGAAGGTGCACTGCGGGATCGGCTGCAGCTCGCTGTCCTCGGGGGCACGCGCTGCGAGCCGGAGATGAACTGGGGCGCGGTCGGAGATGCCCCTGCCGAAGAGGGTGACAGGCGCCACGGGGATGTCCACCTTCGCACACCACTGAATCAGCAGCCACAGCCGCGAGCTGACGTAGATCTTGTCAATACGCGTGCACTGCTGCGAGTGCTCGGTGTAGCGCGTCGGCAACTCAGGGTCCACCGCGACCATGTCGCCCAGAGCTTGTTCCCACATCAGCTGGTGTTCTGGGTGGTGATTCCGCCGACGAGGAAGGCCCCTGTTGACCAGCGGCGAAGTCAGCTCGAGCGGAGCCTCATCCATGAAGTTGAAGTCACCCATGACGAGCACGGTGATCCGCTCCGGCTGTTGTTCGGCAATGCTGAGCTCGGCGCGGATCGATCCCCTCGTGCGCTGGGCCTGG